CTTGTTTCACTTATAAAATCCATCTATGTTTCATGGGGCAAGATCTTCTGCCTTTTTAAGATTGAATATTCCTTAGTACCTAAATATCATATTTTGTTTATCCATTCCTCTGTCAGTGGGCATTGGGTTGTCCTCTTGGAAATTGTGAATAATGCTGCTATATGAACACAGATGTGCAAATCTTCTCCACCCTACTTTCAATTATTTTGGATACATACCCCAAAATGGGATTGATGGATCATGTGGTAGTCCCATGTTTACTTTTTTGAGGACCTCCATATTATTTTCCAGAATAATTGCACCATTTTATCTTTTTTTTTAAAATATTTTTATTTATTTCTAGGATAGAGAGAGACAGCGTGAACAGGGGAGGGTCAGAGAGAGAGGGAGATACAGACTCTGAAACAGGCTCCAGGCTCTGAGCTGTCAGTCAGCACAGAGCCCGACGCGGGGCTCGAACCCACGAATCGCGAGATCATGACCTAAGCGAAAGTCAGACGCTTGATCGACTAAGCCACCCAGGCGCCCCATAATTGCACCATTTTAATATTCCATCAAGAATGCCCAAAGTGGGGGCACCTGGGTGACTCAGTCAGTTAAGTGTCCGACTTCGACTCAGGTCATGATCTCGCAGTTCGTGGGTTTGAGCCCCGCGTCGGGTTCTGTGCTGACACCTCAGAGCCTCTAGCCTGTTTCAGATTCTGTGTCTCCCTCTCTCATGCCTCTGTCTCTATCTCACAAATAAACTATAAAAAAAAAAAAAATGCCCAAAGGGTGAATTCTTTTAACTATCAATTTCAGAGTGAAGAGTTAATGTATTCCATTCCAATGGTCACGACCACATTTTTTTCCTTCTTTTTCAAATACTATGCATGAATAATTTTTTCCATGAATAATTTTGTATTTATCCAATAGTGTACAATGGTGATGTGACATAATAAAACATCTATAAATGGTCATTGGCCATGGTTCCCAGAACAGCTCTGGAGCCGTTAAAGGTGAAAGGAGTGCCTTTTGTTATTCATAACAGGTCCCTTTCAATCACAACAGTTTATGTTAATGAAGTGACTTTTGGAAAGCCATCAGGGATGGGGGTGCTGGTTGTCAGGGGAACCAACCACATGATTAGAGTTGGAACTTTCAGCTGCAACACTTCCCCACCTCCACCCCACCCCCACAGACCTCTGGGGATGGGGGTTGGAGGGAGGATGGACTGGAGATGGAGTTCCATCCCCAATGGCCAGCGATTTAATCCATCATGCCTAGTAATGAAGCCGCCATAAAGATCCTAACCAAAGGGGGTTCAGAGTGTTCCCAGCTTGTTGAACACCTGGCGGCGTGCTGGGGGGGTGGCGTGCCCAGAGAGGGCACGCGCCATGTTCCTTAATCCCTGAGCCCCCGTGCATCGCTTCGATTTGGCTGTCCCTGATTTGTATCCCTTTTATAAACCAGTAATCCAATAAGTAGACTGCTTTCCTGAGGTCTGTGAGCCATTTTAGCAAATTATTGAGTCTGAAGAGGGGGTCATGGGAGGCCGCAGTTTATAACCAGTTGGTCAGAAGTACCAGGGGCCCGGCCCTACAATCAGCATTTCAGTAGGGGGCCGACTTGTCGGACTAAGCTCTTAACCTGGGGCCTGCACAAACTACAAGCAGTTGGTGTCAGAATCACGTGATGTGGGGGCAGCTTGGGTGACTCAGACTCTGATTTCAGCTCAGGTCGTGATCTCACCGTTCAGGAGTTTGAGTCCCGCACCGTGCTCTGTGCTGACAACGCGGAACCTGCTTGGGATTCTTTCTCCCTTCTCTCTGCCTCTACCCTGCTCATGCGCTCTCTCCAATAAATAAATGTAAAAAGAAATTACATGATGTGGAAAGCCTACACATGTGGTGTCAGAAGTGCTCTGTGGGTGTTATGACTAGTAGTGTACAGGGAACATGGGGTTTTTCCTTTTTGACAATACTTGCATTCTTCCTGAAGGTTCAAATTTAAGCACATTTGGCCAGTGGGAAATCCCTTCAAACCGGTTTGCTTGACCTTTGAAACACTCCCGTTAGTCTTCCTTACCTTCTGTAGGAAACTGCCCCAGTCCCATTTAGATTTCGGGATCAGGCCTTTCTTTAAGGAGCCCTGTTCCTTTTTGTGGGGTCATATTAAGGGATCAAGATCTAGGTGCTACTTCTGCTCGCTCCCGGGGGGCCACTGCTTCAGGGTCCTTCCAGTGGACGTAGCTGGGACCTTGGTTTTTTTTTTGGGAATCATGAGTTCATATTGATGGTTCCAATTCAAACATTCTTAATTTCTTGGGTTTCATTCTTTTATCTCTTTGCTCTCATTTTTGTTTCCTATTTCCTCCCTTCTTCACAACGGGCAGCATATTTCATGCGGTGTCCTGCCCCCCCATCTTCTCTCTCCCGGAGGTCACTCCAGATCTGTCCACGGAGACCTTCCTCATTCTTTTTTTCTGGCTCAATAGCCTTTTTTTTTTTTCTTTTAAAGAAATTTTAAACATACACAGAATTAGAGGGAATAACGGAACCTTTCTGCGCCCATTACTGGGCTTCAACAATTGCCACCGTGCAGACAATCCAGAACAGGAGGCCATGTGGGTGGGATGAGGGTTGGGAACTTTCAGTCCAATGACCAAGGGGGCAGGGACCACCTCTCCATCCATCCCTGTCCCTCCAAACGCCTGGGCACTGGGGGCACGAGGAGGCTGACCACTCTGTCTCCCACCTATAAGAACAGGGAGATGCGGGTGGTCTTGGCCCCCACCACGTGCTCAGCCGTTACAATCACGGAGAAAGGAGCGATGAAGGCCCAGGGGAGTCCGGGAAGGCAGGCCTGAGCTGCATCTGTTAGCACCACGTGTGCAGAGGAGGGGACGCTCAAAGGGACGGAGAAAAGGAGCTGGAGGCCGCGGGGAGGCTGGGGCCACTGGTGTCCTTGCCTTGCCACACTGAAGGGGGACTCTCGCGGGGAAAGCAGGGGCCATGTGGCCGGGCGAGAGCCCCCTGGTGAGGGGGTGTAGGAGGAAGAGGCCAGATGGAACCTGGACGGGAGTGGGAGAGACTGAGAAAACATGGACAGGTCGGAGCAATTTGCTACAAAGATGAATGAGGGTTGGACCTGAGCAGTAATGATGGCAATGAGAAGGGGTTTCCGAAGTGGCCCATCAGATGTGGGGACAGCGCAGGGTCTCTGCTCTTGGCCAGGGACAGATCATGGGGTCATTGCCCAGCGCTAGAAGTACAGGAAAAAGGCGGGGCAGGGATGCCTCGGTGGGTGGGAGAGTTCAGTCTGACCAGACGGAGTTCTTTGCGAGCAGGGGCAAACCAGGCAGAAACCACTTTGGTGCCTAGTGCCTGTGACATCCTCTCTACAGAAAGAAATGGGTAATCTGAACCCGTGCCACCCTCAGTGGGATTAAGGTGGGCAGGCACTAATCTTGTTTCATAAAAGAGTGAAGTTCAGAGAGATTAGAGACCTTGACCCAACTCATAAGGCTTCTGGGGGAACAGCACGGCTACCTCAGGGCTGTGCCACTTGCTGGGCGAGCGGTCATGACTGCTCAGCGGCCGGGCAGCAGGTGCCCAGAGCACAGTGGAGGGCCATGACCCTGGCCAGTTTTACCAGCGGTGTTTACTTCTCTCCTGGGCCTAAACCAAGAAGGAACTGGATCGGCCAGCAACAAGCACTTGCGGGGCACCCGCACAGTTTATAGAGCTCTTGCGTACATCAGCTCGTGAACTTCTCACCACCACCTTAAGCAGCTTTATTATGGTGATTTGACAGAGCGGACTCACAGAGATGATGGCCCAAGACACGGCAACTAAAACACACCTTCAAGTTTAACCCAGGATCCAGAGCAGAGGTGCCGAGTCTGCGTCTGCTCCCATTCCCGTTGAGCCACACAGCCTCCCAGGCGAGCCCCAGCGCCCGCAGGCCACAGAGGCGCCCCTGCTGGAGGCTGCAGGGAGGAAGCCTTCAGAGACCCTCTTGGGACTCAGGACACAGCAGCTCCTCTCCGGGGTCGCAAGGTCCCAGCAAAGGAGAGGAGGGGGACCAACTGGCCTCCCTCAGTGCCCAAGCGTGTGTGTGGCCAGGGAGAGGGGGAAGGGGCCAATGTAAGTCCATGTTTATTTTGGGGACGGCAGGGTCATCACACTCCTCTGGTCATGCTACAATTATCAGGAGCAGTTCGAGGACCACCTTTCTCACTCTGCCCGCGGCACAGCAGCGACCTGCCCTTCACGGCCCGGCTTCCCTCTCCGACACGCAGTCCTTCCGCTGGACTGGAGAGCTGCCAAAGAGCGAGAACGGCAAGCGAATTCCCTCCAGACTTTCGGGCCGACGGCGGCTGGGAAATCTGTTTTGGCCCCGAGAGGAGCCCAGCAGCCACTGGTGCTGCCCAGTCGCTGCTGTGGGGCAGAGATAACAGGCACAGGAAAGGCGGGGTGGCAGGATCCTCCCAGGAGCCTGGCTCTCACGTAAACAATGAGCTGCCGCCAGCCAGGGCAGGAGGTGATTCACGTCCCTGCTGGCTGCGATCGGCGGGCACTGAAGGCCCCGGGGCAGCCCTGGCCAGGCGCTCAGGCCTCTCTGGCTGTGGGTTGGGGATCAAACCCAGGACTTCTGGTAACTGGCTGACCTCAAAAGCCTGGGTGTGTACAAAAAGTGGTCCGAGAGGGCTCAGTTGCGCCCAGAGGAGCAGAGGCCTCGGCCCTTGTCTGAGACCCGGCCGGGTTTCAGGATCAGGGCAATAGACAGCTGCGACACGGGGCCTCACCCGCTCTCTGAACGCCCACCTGCCCAGGCCGAGGGGCGCACGCTGGGAACAACCACGGCAACTTCCTGGGCCTCCCCTGTTGCCACAGGCTTCGGCCACTCCATTACCTACCCTGAGGTAACAACCCCAGCAGAGAAGATGGAGACGGTACTCGGAACTTCCACACGTGCCTGGAAACAGACCACAGAAGAGGCCGCTGCATCCAAGACGCTGAGATGTAAGAATACAGCACTTTTAATAGGGCACCAGTCCCCAAGTGGGGTGTGGATCCTCTCCGGAGCACCTGACTCCTCTGTGACAATGTCCTCTTCCTGGCTGGAATGACACACAGAGGCTCCTCTTGGGGGTGGCATCTGGGGGGCAACTCCCAGTCCTGAAATCTACAAGGCGGCACCTGTGCGCTGCGTCGCTCCCTGGGCTGCACAATCTCATCAAATCCCGGAGGGGCTCCTCCCCTCAAAGGAGGGGAGAATGTCCGAGCCGCCCCAAGCTGGTCCCTCGGGTCACTGCTTGGCCTTTTTCACGATGGTGCCCACGGCGGAGATCACAGTGGTCTTGGAGCCGCTGGCACTGGTGGTTACCGTGACGACAGCTGGCAGAGTGGCCGTGGTGGTGAGGATGGTTGGCTGGGCTATCGTCGTCACCGGGATGGCCGAGTCCCACTTGCTCTTTCTCTTTTGGGCATCTGGAGGAAGGCAAGGGAAGAGTCAGGATCAGGACAAACCAAAGAGCAACACTGCGTTTGCAGGCAGGGCCAATGGTCAGAGCTGAGGGGCCGCCTGCCACAGAAATGCCAGGGGCAGCCCCCGGACCGGGGTCCCCACCCCAGGCTCCCGAGATGCCTCACAAACTCTGGGGTCAGAATGAAAGCACAGCAAGGTGGAAGCTCGGCTCGGGTCCCCATGGCCTCTGTTCCCCAAAATGAGGCCGGGAAGCCCTCACCCCATGTGTGGTGTGGGACCAGACAAGCTGTCCTCTACCTGCAACCGCCGTGCTGGCCGTGGTGGTGGTAGTGGCTGTGGCGTTGGTCGTGGTACCTTTCTTGGTGCCTGTCACAAACTCGATCTGGAGGGCAAGAGGAAAGAGAAAACCTGTGCCAAGCTGTTTATCCACATCCTTCTGCCAGCATCTGGGCGACAGAGGGGCGCGCCGGACACAGGAGGCACTGAGAAGCAGCCCTGTTGTGCTGTGTGAGGCAGGGAGAGGCGTCGGAGGACACCTCTGCTATTTTGCGGAGATCCCTCCAAAGGGGCACTGGAATGCTCCCAGTGTCTCCAGGTTTCTGCACACGCAGGGCACCCCGGCGTGACGCTCCACCTCACGCCCAGGGTGGGGGCGCACCCGCCCGCATGGGAGCGCAGCTTGGGTCCCCGGGAGCCGCAGGCACGGCCCACGCTAAGCCTGGGGTTTGGAGTGGGGAGGGAAAGAGAGAGAAGGGGCATTTCACCAAGCGCGGAGATCGACAAGACCCGACAGCCCCCGCGCCGGCTCCCAGAGGGCCACAGCCTCTCTGCTCAGGGTCAGGGCACGTGCTGGAGGCCACAGCAGCTGCAGGAGGTCACACCAATCCAAGGGTGGGCAGAGCTGGTGCCCTGAGGCCCAGTGTTCTGTCTCAGGGACTGGTCACAAAGGGCACAGCCTCATTTAGTCTCAGAGCCAAATTTCTGTTCCCCAAAGGATCCAGAACGTGCTGCTTGGGAAGAAGTGGAGCCTAGGCCTCTAACATGAGGGGTCGCCTGGCCACCAGGCACGGGATCTACAAGGAAGCACCGAGGCAGACCGTGCAGATCAGATCTGGGGGCTGAGAAAGTACTCTCAGAAAGAACACTCGCCTGTTTGGGTCAGGGAGGACACGGGTGACACCAGAGAGAAAGCCACCGGGGCTCTGCAGCTGGAAGGGGGAGGGGCGGGAGGGCAGCATGCAGAACCACAAGACCCCAAGAAACCAAATGGAAGCAACTGAGAAGCACCTTCAAGCTGAAGGTGGGGGGGTGGGAAACGACACCCGGACCCCAGGCCTGGCCGTCAGGACACTTGTCCACCACTTACCTTGGTTCGCTCCTTTTTGGCCTTTTCCAGTTTGTCCATCTCGATCTTCTGGGCTTTAGCTACAGGGATCAGAGAAGTTGTAACAAAAGCAGCCCCAGAACAGCTCTCACGTGAAGGGACACTTTAGGCCACGGGACCCCACACCGGTGCTTGTCACGCCCCCAACCCCGCACACAGGTGGCCTCGAGGCCAGCAGATGGGAGTACCGGCCCTCGGCCAGCACAGAGCAGAGGCTTTAGATGTAAAGGCCCTTGTCTGGGGGGGGGGGGGGGGGGGGGGGAGGAGTTGCCCCTGAGCCCCAGCTGACTGTCACCATGCGGGAATGGGGACGCAGGCCTAGGGTGGGCTGCCTTCCCACTGACCAAGGGCAGCAGCATCCCAGAGTTTGGGTAAAATGCTGGCAATGAATTCCAGTTAGAGGAGGATGAAACTCCTAGGCCAAACAAAACACATCTGCAGGCCACACCTGGCCTGCAGGCTGCCGGCTCCAGACCTGCCACTTGGGGGCCCGGACTCTGCAATCTTCCCGGTTCTCCCTTCTGGGACCCTTGAGAAAATGCCTTCTCACTGGCCTCTGTATGCTCCGCCCCCCTGCCTGGGACACGGCCTGACTCTGCCAGACCGGCCTCTGCACATCTTCAAACCTTGTCTCCAACACGGCCCCCTGGCTAGGCTGTCCCCCCACCTTTGGTTGGTTAGGTGGCCCTCCCTGCGCCCTCTCACCCAGCGCTGCTCACTGCTAGGACTGCTTTGTCCCCTCCGGTGGGTCATAAGCCTCCTAAGTCAGAGCAGATCTGTCTCGTTCAACACTGTATAGCTACCTCCTTGGACACGACATGACACGGAGGGGACCCTGAAATACGTGTTGGTGAACTGACTGGATGGACAGACGGATGGATGGCCACCTACCTAATGCCTCATAGTAGGAGTCCTCGGACCAGCCATGGGGGTCAAACATATCCTGAAAAAAGAGTTAATGCTGTAGTCAACAAGGGTCAGTGGATGACAAATGGCTTAGAAACCCAAGTCCCTTCTCCCCAAGTCTTTCCATAGACTTTCCTGGCCTGGACTCCCCGTGCCATAAGGACAGAGGGACTCAGCGGTTACCCGGGGTTTCTAGCCAAAGAGGGGGCTGATTTGCTTTTGGGAATATGAAGCAGGGACGCGTCTGTCCATGGGCTGTGCTTCAGGAGTAAGCGAGTCCACACTCACTAACCAGTCGGGGCCTCAGGCCAGGTCTGTTGCCACAATCTCTCCCCTGGACTATTTCAGAGCAACGGGGACTCTAACAAGAGAGCTGGGAACTGTGCTCTTCAGCCAGCACTGCTGCCACCCGCGCCTTTCAGTGGCTCCAGGCTGAAGCCAGCAGAGTGAGTGCAGGACCCTGGGTGCCCTCCCCTCTACCCTCAGCCTCTGCATGCGGGACACACCTTTGGGTAGTTGGTGCCGAGCTCGTCGATTGCACAGAACTGGATCAGCTTCTCATAGATGCTGAAAGAAAAATACCAGAAGGCACTGAGCAGGCCCTAGTCCCTTGTGGCACCTGATTTTGAGAGAGAGACCAGAATGGTCCAGTTCCTGGTCTCAGATGAACCCTTTAAACTCAGCCCAATTGTTGTAAACAGGCTTCCTGATAGAAGGGGAAACGTCCACTGGCCTGATATGAAGTCACTCCTTGTCCTTCCCCCTCCCAGAGACATGGACCATTAGCCAGGGGCCAGGACGGGTATGGTGTCCAGACATCTGACCCTCAGTTTGTGTGGCTGGGTCGGGGCCACACACAGGCCCACATAAGGGCCGGGGCAGGTCCTTGATGTCACCACCATACCAGAGTCCCGGGTGTGACACTTGCTCAGACACTGGATGGAGTAAGATCCAGACACAGCTCTGTTCCCAAAACCCATCACCTGTACCCAGAATCAGTGACACTTTGGAAATGAAAGAGGAAGCCACAGGAATTGCCTCGTCCAATTCCCTTACTGTACAGATGAGGAAACTGAGGTGTGCTGAGGCTCTGGGCCTTGGGAGCAGAGTGAGCAGGAGAACCCAGCCAGGCCTCCTCCAGCCCAGCTGAGGTCTCTCGGCATCCAATCTACACCCTGGCTTCCGTGTTCCTGCAGTCTGGGTGGTGGCCCTGTGGGCAGAGGCGGGATCCTAGCCGTGCCTCTCCCTGCCACCTCCATGGGAACATCCCAGTCCCCAGTCCCACATCAGCGACCCAACGGAGCCTGTAGACTCACGGAAACTCACCTGGGGTTCCGAAATTCTTTCTTCCTTTGGATAATGTAATTCATATCCATTCCCTCCTTTATCTTCCTCTCATAAAGCTTCTGGATCTTGTCCTAGGAAGAAAAACAGAAAAGCGCTTCTGACGCCACCCCACCACTGGCAATCCCGGTCTGGGGTCACACGTGCTGTGTGTGGACACTTGGTCACAGGAGACCCATAGAGCCATGTGCAGCCCTACTCCAGTCATATCGTCTTTCTCCACCCAGCCCGGAACCGGCGCTGAGATCGGTCTGTTTTGCTTTCTCCTGATTCCCTCTGGATGGCTGGCAGAGGGCGTACTAAAAGATCGAGGCAGAGAAACCATGGAGAAGACAATGAATTATCCCCACTTGTCAACTGGCTCCTGAATCATCCAAAGAGGATTTAGGCAAAGAGTGGATGGGCAGGGGCTCGATGCTGGTTTTGAATTTAAACACCAGATCAAGTCCTCAGTGGGAGACCTGGGAAGGCTTGTCCTTTCGGCGGAAGGCAGGAGTAGAGCTTTTTGGATTTGGTCTCATAAGCTTTCTAGTGTCCCTTGTAGGAAGCTCACAGATGGCCAGTCCCCGCCACTTTATGAAGAGGCGCTGTCGAAGGTCAAGAGCTCATCTCATTAGAACTGCCCCCCAGACCCCTGCTCTCGTTTGGTGGGCAATAGGAAGGCCACCTGGGAGGAATCCAGACCAGTCCCTGGGGCAGACGGCCTCTACACCACCCAGCGCATCAAGAGGCCCCAGACACCCGAGTCTCAGGACAGAGCCACCTGCGAGGAGGCCCAGTGTGACCCAGCAAGGCTGATGCTGGCCCAGGGCAAGGTCTCTCTACAGCCTCCCCCACTAGTGGCGGCTAAATGCACAGACTCTCCAGAAGAAAAACATTTGGGGCACTCTTCACCTGCGAGAGGAGGTGGGCAGGGCCGGAGGTCCCGTGTGACGCCCTTTGGGAACATCAGGAGAGGTGATCCACTCCCTTTGTCAGAAGGCTGAATCCTTCTGCCGAGCTGGCCAGGGGCAGCACTGAGGTGCAGAGAGAGGTTTGTGATTCATTTACTGCGGAAAAGATGGCCAAGAGCGACAAACCTCAATACTATCTCTTCAAGGGCAAGGGGGGCTTTCCACAGAAGACCCGGCAAGTTGAGGGTGACCTGTATCTTAATAGAGATTACTTTTCTGGGTTTCCTGGGCCATCAGATGGGCTATCCCATTTCAAGTAAACTAAAGCGTTCACTTAATGTTGTGGTTCCTACGATTAGGAGCATTTAAAAATGAGAAACACAACGAACCTAAGGGCTGAGCCGGCCGGCTGTCTCTGGCAGATCGCCAGACTGTCCTTGCGGGCTGTGGCTTGTTGCCTGGCAGGGAGGGGAGATGCTATCCTGGGGGGGAGGACAACTCAGCAAAGGGAGGAGACTTCTGGGAAAGGAAGAGAATGTGCTCGGTGCCCCTAGCGCCGACTCTGGCCCTGCCCAGCCAGCTGCATTCCATAGCCCCAGGTCCCCTTAGTCATCCATCCGTCAGGATGGTGCCATGGGCCTGTGGTGTGGCCGGAGGCACCAGCAGAATTTGTCAGATTAAAGGTAGAGCAGGTGGACCGGATGCCACTAGTGGGCAGGCCTGTCTGCCCTGTGTGGTCTGTGTCACAAGGTTCCACATGCAGGAAACCCGCGGAGGGACAAGGAGAAACAATCCCAGAGGCTGAAAAGGAGGTGCAAACCCCGGGGGCTCCCCTGAGGTCCCCCTCTCAAGGGAGTAACTGCACTAAATGCCTCTCTCCCTTGGATTTCCGAACCTCAGGCCGCGTCTGCCTGTGATGCTGTCAGACAAGCAGCTAGTGAACTGGTGCGTCAGAATCTTAGACCCAGAAATGCTTGCGGTTTTGCGTTTCTCTGTCCTATTTATTTTACATTCTAATAGTCCCTCAGTTTCTTGGCAAAGTTCCCCACTGGCTCAGCTGGGTGGCACAGAAGGTACGTTATTTTCTCTGCCTTGCCATAGGACCTGAGTGCGACCTGGTGGTCCCAGCTGGAACGGCGCCAGGTGATGGGGCAGAGGGTGGCGGTGGGGACAGAGCAAACTCCTGACGGCGGGCTAAGAGAGGTAACCAGGACTGTAGGCTCCTGCCCATCTGGCTGCTTCTTTTACTGATGGTTCTTAAAATTGGACCAAAGCAGCCACTTTGACCCAGGCTTTCTCACCTACACTGGCCTCAAGTAGCCGAGCTCTGTACTTACTTGTAAGTGATTTGAACATCTGCCAGGTGGTTCAGGTGGGATCTTGATTTCATCGGGCGACATGTTCCGGACTCTTTCAGAGAAGGAGGCTGTGGGGGAACAGAGAGAAAAAATTCTGTGCATGTGGATGTCGGGGTGGTTGCAGCTGGGGGAAGGATCGGGGCCAGACACGAAGTTAAAAAAAAAAAAGGCACATAACATTTTCTGTAGAGATGAAGGCTGTGCTATGAGACAGTACGATATTCGCAGGGGTCTCTCTGCGGGTATCATCTGAGTTGAGATCAAATGACCAGAAGGAGCGAGCATGTGCCAACTCGGGGAAAGAGGGGACAAGTGTCAAGAATGCATGCATGCTCCTGTGTCCCAGCAGTTAACTTTGAAGGAAAGGGTACGTGCAGGGTGTGCTGGTAAATGTTCAACAGCCAGCTGAGGGGTGGAAGGCGAGGAGGGGAAGAGTCAGGATCTACTGCATCTGCCAGTTTCTGTGGTATTCATTCTCTCATTGCTGGACCTAGGCCCGGGTGGGGGTGGGGGAGCATCACCGGCTCACAATGTGAGCCAGCTCCAGCCCCCCCCACCGGCTATGTTCCTACAACACCCTCCCAGGATTCTGGAAAGTTGCAGAATTTCATCATTCTCATCTTAGGCCATCCTACCCAAGACACAGGAGAAAGAGAGTTCCGGGTTCCCTATGCCCTGGGACTCAAAGCATTCAAAACCGCCTTGTGAGTAAATATTTCAAAAATCACCTGCTGGTTATTAGCTTAGTCTTTTAAAAATAAACCTATCAACCTTCTTTTGTCCGCCGCCTGGTTCTTGGGAACAAAGGGCCTGATTCTGATGTGAAGAACCACAACTCCCAAGGGATAGCGCCCTCGGCGATCTGCCACTGCCCACCCAAGTTTCCCACTCTCCGCGCTCCCTTCCCTGTGGCCTCTGGCCACCCCAGGCCCGCAGAGTGTGCTCTGGGTCACTCAGACAATGCACTGTTTGTCGAAGATTCTGTCTGTGCTCTCGAAAACATTCTCTCATGAAAAGGAGCATACAATGAGCGAACAGCAGGCGGAGTGGGGTGGGGCAGGATGAAGGGAAAGAATGAACAAACCAGCACTGATAACACCCAGCAAGTACTTACTGGGTACCCACTGTGTGCCAGGCCCTGGGCCAGACTATCTCTTAGCCCTGAGTGGCTGCCTGATGAGAACCCAGCATAGCCTTTGGTCTCTTTTCTCTCGGGGCTCGGTTAATATTTTCTTAGCAGATAAGGTGCTTTGATCTCCACTCAGAGCTGTGCTGTTACTACTAAGAACTCAGTGCTGAGAAGGGCTGAGGGTATGGCTCCGTGGGCTTTGCCAGTCTCAAGGCTGTGAAGCACCCTGTGCACCCTGAGGCTGGGGCGGAGCCTCATATGTGCTCCGCGTGCGGACTCCCATGGTCGGCAGTGGGTCCTCACTGGATGCCCCCTGAGAACAGAGCGCTAGGCGTGCCATTCTGAGTGAGGGCCAGCAGACCAAGGCGGGTTGACATGTCCTGCTGTGGACCGGGAACACCACTGCTGCCCAGGAGCAGTTTCCACCAGGGGACTACGTGCTCCTCTTTGCCCAGCACCTTCTGTCTCCTACCGCCGCCAGCGATGGTGGCACCCATTATCTGCCTAGAGTTCAATCTTGTCCTGGCTTCTCCCTCCTTCTCAGCCGGAGGCTCACGCAGGCCATGGGGGCCAGCCGAGAGTGGAATTAGCTGGGGTGAGCTGGTCCTCATTATTTCCGGAAGGCAAAAGCAAGGAGGGCCTGGGCAGGCTTTGGGCACAAGAAGGGGTGGAGGGTGTATGTGTGCATGTGACAAAAGACAAAGAATGCCCTTTGGCATTTGCCAGGAAAGCCTTTTGGAAAAACAGGGTGTGACACTGTTGCCACAGCAACCCAACCACACTAGGGCTCAAACAGTATAGAGTGTGACAGGGAGGGAGAGCCCCTCCTGAGCTCCCGGGTTAGGAACAAAAGAATTCCTCCCAAGTAACTGGCAAGTGAAGGGATACAGTCAGAAAGTTAGATACATTTTTCCCACAGCTTCCAGGAGCCATCCTTCAGGGACTCTTTCCCTAAGTCCCAGGATGATCTAAAACAGAAGACATCAAACTCGTATATATGGCTATGTGGGCAGCCACAGGCCTCAGGCCATCTTCCCAGAAAATCCATGGACAAATGTGTCTAGGCACTGGGGGCAGCTCTCGGGGTCTTCTGGGGGCATTCTGGAAGGGCAGCCGTACTCAGGATCTGAGAAGTCCACCTCGGTGATTCACTCCTGTGCGCACCCAAGCCAGAGAAGTCATGGTATCCGTGGCTGCCAGCTACGAATCTGAGCAGGACCAGCTAGTCAGCTGGGCTTACGTAATGGTGGGGAGAGAAGTGCCTGGGGGTACCGTGGGGTGGGGCGGGGAGGCTCTCTAGTTCACCAGAGACATAGAGAACCTGACTGGATCGCCACCTCAGTTCCAGCCATGATGAGGGGGCATCAGTGGGGTGTGTGGAGGGGACAGACTGGGAAGGCGTGCTCAGGGCTGTCAGGTGGCCACAATGCTAGAGATGCCAGAGTCAGCTTCTCTGCTTTCATTTGCTCCATTAAACCTGGGGCCACCTTGGGGCGCCTGGGCGGCTTAGTCTGACTCTTGGTCTCAGCTCAGGTCATGATCTCACAGTTCATGAGTTTGAGCCCTCCATCGGGCTCTGGACTGACAGCGCAGAGCCTGCTTGGGATTCATTCTCTCCCTCTCTCTCTACCCCTTCCCTGCTCTCTCTCCCAAAATAAACTAAAAAAAATAAATAAAAAATTAAGGGGTGCCTGGGTGGCTCAGTCACTTAAGTGTCCAACTTCGGGTTTTGGGTCACAGGTCATGATCTCACTGCTCTGGAGTTTGAGCCCTGCGGTGGGCTCTGTGCTGACAGCTCAGGCCTGGAGCCTGCTTCGGATTCTGTGTCTGTCTTTCTGCTCCTCCCCTGCTTATGCTCTGTTTGTCTCTCTCTCAAATAGAAAATACACCCCCCCAATTTTTAAATTTTAATTACAAAAAAGAAAACAAAACCTGGGGCCACCTATATATATGAAAATACTTCCTAAACCCAGCGGGGTGGGGGAGTGCGGAGGAACCTGAGAGGTATTAACAGAAGTGCCGAGTTCAGGCAGAGCTCAGCTACTACCTCCTCAGTGAGAAACCATAAGAGTAAACCAGACTACAAGGCTTTGATACCTACTGTGGTGAACGGATTCAACCATGGCAAAAATCCTCCAATAAAATAATGTATTTGACAATAAAACAAAACAATGGACATGTTCAATATCACAGAAAGATCTCAAAACATATGGGAAATGAAAGAAGCCAGACAAAAAATAAGACGGCAATTTCATTTCTATCAATGGTTCTCAACTGGAGGCAATTATGTTCCCCCCAACGCCCAAGGGGACATCAGGCCATGTCTAGAAACATTTTTCCTTGTCACGTGGCAGAGGGAAGGGAGTGCGACTGGCATCCTAAAGGCCGAGGATGCTAAAACACTGTGTAAAACACAGGCCAGGCCCCCACAACAGGGAATCACGCAGCCCCAAATGTCAATGGTGCCAAGGCTGAGAAATCCTGATCTTTACGAAATTCTAAAATAAGGCAAAACTGTAGTGAAGAAGGAACATCACTGTTTGCCGGAGAGCCAGGGAGAAAACGGTCTGCAAGGAGAGGGATAAACAAACATTTTGGAGCGAGTGAAGGAAATTAATTTTTTAACAATAATTAAGTAATTAATTAATTTTTAAGTAAGCTCTAGGCCCAATGTGGGGCTTGAAGTCATGACTCCAAGATCAAGGGTCACAACTGCCCAAGCCAGCCAGGCACCCCTGGAGGGACAGAAGTGTTTTATGGGGCTTCTGGGGGGCTCAGTTGGTTAAGCTCTGACTTCAGCTTAGGTCATGATCTCACGGTTCATGGACTTGAGCCCTGCATCAGGCTCTCTGCTGTCAGCGCAGAGCTGCTTCAGATCTTCTGCCCCTCCCTCTCTCGTGCAAGCTCTTCTCTCTCTCAAAAATAAATATTAAAAAAAAAGCAAAAAAACTTTATAAAGTGTTTAAAAAGAATTTTTTTTAATGTTTATTTATTTTTGAGAGAGAGAGACAGAGTGTGAGTAGGGGAGGAGCAGAGAGAAAGGGAGACACAGAATCAGAAACAGGCTCCAGGCTCCATGCTGATAGCACAAAGCCCGATGCAGGGCTCAAACTCACAGTGAGATCATGACCCGAATGGAAGTTGGATGCTCAACTGACTGAGCCACCCAGGCGCCCCTGTACAGAAGGGTCTTACAGTGTGATTGTGATGGGGGCTGACATGACTACATGTATCTGTCAAAGTTGATCAAATAGCACCCTAAAAATTGACAAATCTTACCCATGTAAGTTATGCTTCAATAAAGCTATTTTCAAAAAGTGGCAAGGAAAGAAAAGGTGGAAGTTGGGTGAGAAATGGGGCGGAGGTGGCTGATGTGCCCCCCATTCCACTGCTTGGGCTCTCGGGTAGGCTGCCCTCTGACCACACAGCCCCCCTGCTCTCGTTTCTTGGTAGTTTATGGCAGGGACTGGTGAGATGGGGGAGGGAAGAGGAGACTAGGCCAGGGCCCACACGTGCCCCTGAGGATTAGCCACGCGGAGGAAGCCATGCTCTGCTTCCTCTGTCTGCAAAGCCAGCGGGCACATCCCCCACAGGGCCATTTTCTAAGCAGTGAACTCTGAGGTCTAGGAAAATTCTGGGTTTTATAGGATTTGAAAGACTCATACTGTATTCATCATACACACCACTCAGAGATAAAGGCAGAATCCCGCGGAGGGTCAAGGTTGCTTACCGCGGGCGCGTTCCTACCCACTCCTTCCCCAGAGAACAAACGTAAGGGGATAATTCTCATTCTTTCAGTTAGGAACGCAGGACAAGTCTCCACCTCCCATATCCTGTCAGAGGATCCTGTCCAAGAAAAGGACAGGCTGGAGGGGCTGCATGCCACAAAGCCTCCATCTGGAGGCACAGGGGAAGGTTCCGCAGGCCGCCTTTGAAGCAGGACCCCTGCTTTGTGAAGATTAACGGAGCAGCCAGGGAGAGATGGTCACAGTCACCACACGGAGGGAGGGTCGCCCTCTCCGTGACGTTTGGACAGGCTCTGGCAGAGGTGTGACAAAGTCCATGACCAAACTGACAAGAATCGAGGGGCTTTCTAAAAAAGGATTAAGAGACCAGAGTTAGCAGAGGCACTGGGATGACACGGGTGCCCTTTTTCAGAAACATAACTGCCTTGCCCCCCAGCCACAAAGCAGCTTGGACTCTGGGGCTGTGAGGCATGTTCCCTCCTGGGGACAGAGCAAAGTGCCAGCAAGGGCCACGTGCTTGCTTCTTGAGTACATGAATATGCCAGCAAGTGGGGAGGGGGCATACCAGGACAGAGGACAAGCCTCGGGCGCAACGGAAAGAGCTCGCAGCTGAAAGGGGCCCTAAATCCATCTTGAAAACATTGGCAACTGACCAAAGCCCAGTGAAACGCACCATGAATATGATTTTCAAAGAAGAATTGTTCCCTGGGTGTCTTACTCAGACATCTTAGGAAATGCCAGAGGCCCTGAGAGTACATGGAGAGACAAGGGGAGAAGCCCCACCCCACGCACTGGCAGGCCCAGCATGCCCATGGCCAGAAGCCAGTTTGCTCTGCCTCCGAGGCTGCCCCTGGGGTACTCACCGACTAATTCCTGAGGATCCCGCTTTTCTACTTCTGGGTTATCCTGCAAAAGAAAAATAAATACAAAGAGGTAAGCCCCGGGGCTCCTGACCCACGGTTACTTTCTTCACTGAAACCACTCAGGATTTTAAGGGAGGAGAAAAGGTAAACACAACACAAAGAACCTAAGAGTGAGCAGATGCTTTGGGGGCCTTCTGGGACCCCTGAACCTCCTAATCCCCAGAGTAGCCAGGATCCTCTAGATGCCTGCTTCAGGCTCTCCTCCAGGGCCCCCGGCAGGGACCGATATCCACCAATGCCAAGGAGAGCAAATGCCAGCCATCCGTCACCTGCACACCAGGACCTTGCCCGCTGTCTCCCTTGGGGCCTGGTCAGCCATCCCAGGACACCACCACCCCTACCCGGTACACAGGAAGCGAGAGGTGGCAGCTCTGTTTAACATGAGAATCCCAAGACTAAAGCACAAAAGACTATCTGCTTTAGAGATTTTTCTTACTTTTAGTTTAAGCAAAAAAGGGAGACCTTATCCTAATGGGGTGGCTCCCAGAACCCCGGGGCAGGGTTGTACTGGGCCTTTAACAAGGGACTGAACCAGGCCCCCAGAGAGGCCCTAGCACGGAGGTAGCTCCTCTCTTGGCTCGTTACAACGGCTACATCTCTCTCTGAAGAGAAGCTTTCTCTGATCCTTAGTGCAAACAACTCCCACTCCTACGGGTCCGTCAGTGCTGGCCGAGTGCAGAGACTTATGAGCAAAGGTTTCTTATCAGGCGTTTTGCTAGACCTGCTCTGTATTTCACTGCTCAGAGTAAGTGCTTCATTTAAACCAGCTCAACCTGGAGAAGGGCAAGGTCCCAGACTCTGAAACAACCCTGGGCACAGCGGGGAGCAAGGGCTTCCCGAGTCCACTGTCCCCGATGTCCGACGGCAACAACATACCTGTCTTCCCCATCTCTGGGGAAGCCCGGCCCCTCACACACGCTCAGACCGGGGGCCTCAAGCGCACGACATGCTAATGATCACAGTGGTAGGAACTGCGCTCGGAGGGAGCTGTTGGACCTCACTTCTTTCCCCTTTGGTTGGTGGGGGAGGAGGTACGACGGTAACGACTCTGGAACCAAAGGGGCACGTGGACACAGCTACGGGGCTCTGGGTACTCCACTTCCGGGAAGAAATGTTACAGCAAATTAACATTTCAGAAAGGAAGATGCCAGAAGCCCTCCCACGCGATGGCTCTGTGCTAAGAGCGGGAGTTCTTAGCCCCCTTCCCCTAAAGTCCTTTCTGGTTCTGGGAAAGGCCCAAACCCCCTCGCTCTTCTGAACACTGCAGCTATTCATTCGACCGAAGCGGGCATAACGTCCAGGCCAGGCTGCTTAGCAACCTGTCTCCTCCAGCTCCCCGCCCCCTGCCAGTCAGGTGGGTGAAGAGGAGGCAGGCCCGAGCTAGGGAACGGAAGGGTTGGGAGGCCGCCTGGAGGACTGCCATGCCGAATTCAGGTTGGTCATCAATCAGCTGCTCTCCAGAGAGCGCCCGCCCGTCTCCAGGGGCCCCACAACAATCCCTTTGTAGCAGTGACTCAGGAGGAGCCGGTGTTAAAAGAGTGTGGCAGCAACAAAACGTGGGGCTGTAAAAGGTCCTTAAATTTTCCCTCCAGGGGACAGCTTTCTGGGTACTAATTGTGGGAAAACATCAGTTGGGTACATCCTAGCTCCCCTTCGTGGCCAGTTGGCTGGTCATCCAAGGACTGACCATTAACTATTCAAAGGCTCCCTGGGGGCTCCTTCCCAAAGCACCGCAGGGCGCCAGCTCTCCAATGGCCCGAGGAAGGAGGCACGCTATCCACGCTATCCACGTGGGAATGCTACCAGGTCCCCTCCAGAAGCACAGGAAGTTAGTCACCAAACATGCAGCGTCTCTTCTAAGAGGAAAATACTTGTTTATCCAAAGGCTCCTTGGGCAGGGCGAAAGGCTGTGAGCCACCTCGGCCTCCTAAGCTTGTGCCCCCAGCGGTGGGAGGGGCAGGGATTCCCGCATTTCACAAGGTCCCTGCCTGGCTGAGCTGAGGCTGCTTCAGCAGGTCTCAGGGAGAAAAGCAGAGATGGAACAAAGTCACCAACAGGCAGGTGTCCCCTCATTTCTCAGACTTTCTTTTTTTGCCTTAGTTCCTCATTCCTCAAATGGATCATTCTACACAAACACAAAAAGGGATAAAGTTGACAGTTGGTTTCAACTTGCCAACTAGTCTAGTCTCTTGCTTTTTTAACGTTACACCACGCATGCGCGCACGGACACACACGTACACAATGGGGTGTGTCCAGGGTGTACCAGGAGCCCCACTGGAGCTACGGACTCTTACTCAACCCCAGACCCAACATCCCCAGGGACCACCCCCTCCCCGCAGCGGAATGTAGCTCCACGATCCCTCCAAGCCAAGAGCCAACCTACGAACCATCGATCCAACTCCAAGTGCAAGATTCTCTGGCCTTAAGAGAATCCAGTTTATAAAGTGACAACATACATGAGCCACCACAGCCTGGAAGCCATATAGTTCTGCACAGAGTTCTCCTGGGAAGACTCTGGAATGTGTGGCTGGTCAGATGCCTCCTCCACGTCACAGACACTGGTGGGACTCCTCAGGCCCCAGACACTGAAACCGTGGGAGTCTGTGCCTCCTGGTGGCCACACCTTGTTAGGCCTTAGAATATAATCAGTTCTTCTGTCCTCAGACACAAATAAGCTGGGTTTGAGCCTGCTGAGCTCCTGGTGCTCCTGGTGTGTCACGGTGCAAAGGTGCCCCCAAAGAAGAAAGTCAACAAGCCAGGTTCTTCTGGATCCTAAAGCGGTTTGACCCCACATCCTGCCCTGAGCATGAGAAGGAGATTTGATTATGCTCCACAATAAAGGGCCTGGAGCCACAGATCACGTGTTCTTCAGAGAGGATGATTCCAGAACTTCAAACAAAGCTGAAGAAAGGTCAGTAAGGAAGGAGAGCTGGGGTGTTGGGTGAGACCATTGAGGATGGCTATCAAATACCCTAAAGACGCATACATCCCAGGACCATTTACGCTCATTTGTGTCCATCGGAGGCAAGTTTCATCCAATCAAAGCAGCCTTGGGGGAAGATAGGACCAGGGGCGGAGGGTGGTCCACACTCAAGATGAAGACCCAGAGAGACACCCTTCTGTCAGACATGCCGTACATCCCAGCAATTCAGCACAAAATGAACCAAGCACCCGTGGCAGCCAGCCAAGAAAACCATTTGATGAAGTGTTTAATATGACAGAGCCAAAGAGAGAGATGGAAGGTTCACATTATTAAACTGCCAGGGGTTCAAGACACTGGTTTTAAAGTCAGCTCTAAGTTCTCATTATGCTCTTAAGGAGGCAGGAAGGGAAGAGTTAGGCCACAAGGAAAAAAACAACAAGAAACCACTGTTCCTTTTCTTCCCCCAAAGCGGTGTTTTGGAACGCACAGGGGGTGTCTGTCTTGACTTGTATGAATCCATCCCTCTGGCCTCCAGGTGGATATTCTCAGTTGGTTAAAGTCATGAACTCAGCCAGATCTACGCACCAGACTGTAGTCTGAGTCAGCTGGGTGGCAGGGAACTCACAGCCCAGAGACCCGGACAGCCCTGGCGCAGGACATGGTGGCCCCCAGGCACAGCAGGCCAAGGGCTTTCCCCCCAGTTCACTAGGCAGGCAAAAACAAAGCATCTCACCTAGCGGTTCCTGGGAGAAAAGACCAGGTAAACCACTTTGGCTCTCCAGTTCAAGTCCAAGTAAGACACAAGGGAAAATGAAACAGATGCACCGCTTCTGAAGAAGCCAAGGGAGACCATGGGAAAGGCAGGAAAGGAGTGCTGAGCTGGTCAAAGAAACAAATGCTGAGGCAAGGCCTCCCATCCCGACTGTCCGCACCCCTGCAGCCTCCCCAGGGCACAGGGCATGGCCGGCCAGGGACGGCCCTGAAGAACAGTGATCTGAACCTGCCAATTTTGGGTCTTTGATCAATTGTGTCTGAGACCCGTAAGAGTGCAGCAGCCACAACAGCGGCCTCTTACTCAGAGACTGTAGAGCCTGGAATGTGGTCCCCCCTGCAGAGAATACAAAAAAGTCCAACCATCCAGAAACTATGACTAGAGTGGAGGAAGGAAGTAGGAACAATATGGCTCCATGACGTGGGATAAGCTCCCATCCGAGCTGGGAGGGTTTGCTCAGCAGACAAGAACCGGATCCGGGTAGAGAGAACGGAGGTTTCTTTACAGCCAGCAACACTTCACTAATCCTTCCCCAGCCAGTCCCACCAAGCACGCTCAACGGTCCAGCGTCCATCTGGAGACAAAGCAATGTGGCCTCCAGCAGCCGGATTCGGCCAAATCTAAATGTTGCTTTTCTTGCCCCAGCTTTGGGAGTACTGGGCACAGAAAGAGTACTCTGAACCGAGAGGCAGACGGCAGCCTCTCCGTGCTGCTGGGGGAAGAACGCTACAGACTAAGCTTTCTGATAGATGATGTAATCCTACAGTTTAAAAGCAGGTGGCAGATTAGTAAAACAATGCCTTCTAAATCTTCTATTCTCTCAGACCTGGCACTGCCCAAGTAGTTATTAAGTCCTCGTGAGATCTCACTTAAAAATGACTCCTCACTGGGGCGCCTGGGTGGTTCAGTCAGTTAAGTGTCTGACTCCTGATTTCAGTTTAGGTCATGATGTCTTGATTCGGGAGTTCGAGCCCTGCAGCAGGCTCTGGGACCTCTCTCTCTCTCTCCTTCCCTTTCTCTGCCTTTCTATCTTAGAATAAAAAAAAAAAAAAGACTCCTCACGGTGGCCTGAGGCCCTGGGAGGACTTGCAGCGGCCCTTTCAGCCCCTCCTCCTCCTAGCACGGAGCTGCAGCAGGGCCCAGGTAAAGCCCCTCCTCGGAACACCTCCTCTGCACTGTTGCTGAAAGTAATTCCTATTCAGACCTCAGTCCTCGGATCATGGAAGCCTTCATCTGCCCCACCCCCACCGGGTCAATGAGGACCTTGCTCTATTCTGGGCTCTTACTC